AGCAGCCTCTTCCACCCCGGCAGCTTCCTGGGGGGCCCCGCGTCCAGCTTCACCCCCAAGCCGCGAAGCAAGGCCAGATCCTGTTCAGGTAAGTGCTGCACCCCTTGGCCTGCCCCATCACCTGGCGGGTGCATCCCCGGGGTGGAGGGGCCGAGGTCGGGGCCCTTCTGCGGGGTGCTGTGTGGGGGCGTGCGTGTTGCAGTTGGCTTTGCTTGCTCTTTGGGGGTGAGGTTGAAGGCAGCTGTGGGACTGGGTGGTGGTTTCGGCTCTGTTTGGGACAGAAGGGCAGGTGACTGCTCGGTCCCACTTTTCTGGCTTTTTAAAGTAGGAAAGGGGGGCTCGCACCAAGCTTCTGTGGGTGCCAAAATGTCCAGAGCGGCTGCTGAGCCCCAGGGCACTGACCCCCGGCTGCTCAGCTGGGGCCGAGGGACACAGGAACCCGGGCAGAGAGAGCTGGCAGATCTGAGCTGTACAAAGAGGGGTTTATCCGAGAAAAATGTTTCGCTCGGAGAAAAAGCACTCCCTGGCCGGCTTCAGCCGCCCGAGGTGCTCAGGCCCGATCTTGCCCACCCGCAGATCCCATGTGGGGAGTTTCTAGCCATAGATTTTTTTTTTTTCCCCTCTCTCAAAAATTTTAGCCTCTCTTCATTAATAAGAACGAAGGCCCCAGCCCAGGATGAAAGCGAAACTTCCCCGGCCGGTCCACTTCAAATCGCAGAGGGCCTTATTTCCTTTACATTTTACAGGAGCAAAAGTTCAAATATAGTTTACATACCAGTGCGAAAGACTAAGGTGCCCAGTCATTGCTAACTTATTCCAACACGAACTAGAAAAGACTCCTTTTTTTCCTGAACCAGACACATCTCTGCTTGCTAACAACTGACTGCAGATTTCCCCCCTGTTCATAACCCTTCCTTGTGTTTCTTCCTAAAAGTGCAGTCCTAAATCAGCAAATTATGTGATTGCTGAAGTTTTGATCTCGCTCTGAAATCACACCAGCTGTACAACTAGACCGATGAATTAAGACAATTTGTGTAATTCTATGAGCCTTCCTGGTTTAACATCCTCAGCAGTGGAAGGAAATGAAATACTGCATATAGGGACTGAGTTTAGAGCACCTTTTAAAAATAAAATGGCTATATATGCTTGTGTGTGTATATTTTTATATATCAGTGCACATATAAGCTTATGGATACACCACACGCATTTATTTTTAAAGCAGACAGTAATTTAGAAATGCGATCTCTTTTATGAGTTTTGCAACAAAAATATCAGATATTTTACAACCTCATCAGCTCTGTTTCAAATGGCTCCTCTGAGGGGAAAAACACATTCTCCCTCTTCCTATTATTTAAATGCAGTCGCTATTATGTAGACGTATTTTTTTAATATATGCAGCAAATATGTAAAGGCGATTAGTAGCCTGAGCCCACTGATTTTGGAAACAGATTCGAGAGCCAGGTCTCTGAGAATAAATGGATCTCGAATGGCTTTTTTATTTCTGTCCTGTAGTTGCCAGTGATTTTATTAGATTGGGGAAGTAAGGGGCTTTTTTGTTTTGTTTTATGCTTTTTTTTTTGCTGTAAGGGAGCCCCCTGTGCAAGGAACTGGGGAAAGTTCGTGACCACTCAGTGTTTTTGTAGGAAAACTAAGACTCACGACACGATGACTCCTGCAGCTTCCTGCCCTAGGAGGGACAAAAGCTACAAATGCAGCGCCGCAGAGCTCCCCTCATTTTTCACTGTAGACTGTGTTGTTTAAAAGCCACCCACTCCCTAGATTAAAGGAGACGCAAGCCCCGCTGAACTCGCCATGGCCTGCTTCAGTTATTAGCAAAAAAGAATTTCCTCTGCAGTTAAATACTGTAGGATTTGCATAAACTATATTAAGAGAGATTTCTATATTAAGCAGACCTGCCCTCGAACCATCAGAGGCAAATGAACTTTTAGCAGAAAGCTTTCTGAGGCAGAAATAGATATCTAGGAGTTACATGCTGGGTTTTAATAGGGCCATTCCACATGTGCTGTGCTTCCCATGTCTACTACTAAAACTAATAACGAAACAGTAATAAGGTAAACTGCTCCCTACCAAATCCAAACCGTATTGTTCAAAAATCACAGAAAGAGAAAAGAACTCAAAGCCTGTTTTTTACAGTGATTTCCAGAGTGCTTGCTGAAACTGAACTGTCTTACAGATCAGCGTTTACAGCAGTTTTATGCCTTTAGAACAAAATTCATAACTGAGCCTTTGGCATTCTGTCTCGACTCCCAGTCTGCTCAGCTTTACTTTCTTATCCGGTAGCGCTTGCAACAAAAAAGAAAGCCCAGAACGGGAGATCTTTTTGCTTAGATTTAGTTCTAGAAAACCTTTTTCTTTTTTTCTTTCTTTCTTTTCTTTTTTTTTTTTTTTTTACATTCGGTGCGTTTTCAGGTGTGTGTGTTTGTGTGTGTGTGCTTGCACGTGCACGTGTGTATTTGTGGCAGGAGAACGCACAATCCAACCCTCGGAGTGCAACAGAGATGGGAGGGGAGCGGTGCCCAGCGCAGATTAAGGGAGTTCTCGTTACTGAAACGATAACTTTCAGCTGACACAATAAGAGTGTCACTCTTTCTCACCTTGCCGAGAGAGCTGCCTTTTGCCGATCATGACATAAAATACTCGCTGGAGCCTGGGCGTTCTCGAAACACCAAGATCCTTGCTGCATGTGCTGTAGATGTCACTGCTGTCTGATTGTGCTTGAATTAACACACTGTTTTGACTTCTGGAAAATGCCTAAAGGACAATGCAAAAAGCTTTTGTGAATTTGTTTTTAAAGAAAGAAATCCGGTTTCTTCGTGTTTCCATTTAGAAGGCAGAGAGTGTGTGAACTGTGGAGCAACTGCTACCCCTCTCTGGAGAAGAGACGGCACCGGGCATTACCTGTGTAACGCCTGCGGGCTCTACCACAAAATGAATGGTCAAAACCGACCTCTCATTAAACCTAAACGAAGGCTGGTAGGTGTCTCCGTCTCTGCTGGGTTGGGGGATAAATGAAGCAAAGGGGACCACACGCAGGCAGAAGTATAACGTGTCTCACCTTCGCAGCCGCGGCGCGGAGCGGGGACGCGCTGCC